TTTTTTTGAGTAAAATAGTTAAAAAAGTCCTCACAAAGTTCCGAGGAGGCCTCAGATAATAAATTCATTGTTGGGTTTAAAAGAGAATCAATCATATCAAACAAAGCTTTTGGTCTATTCACATTATCAGCAATTAACTGAGAGAAATAACTAGATTTAGCATGTTTTACTGCTATTTGATAATTAGAGAGACTTAACTTTAAGATATCAAAGGAAACATGCAGCTTACCTTTTTCCCACTTTCGCTCTGCTTTCCGCCACTCTTGTCTAAGAGTGCGGGTGTTTTCATTTAACCATGGCTGGCCAACACCCTTTACCCTTTTATGCTTAAGCGGAGCAACAGTGTCCAAAGATGTAGAACAAGCTTTATAAGATCCTTCAATCAAACTTTCAGTATCAGTTTCGTTAAGGATATCATTGGTAACATGTAAAGAATAATGTTCCGAAAACAAATTTGCAGTGTTAGAATTGATAACTCTAGACCAATGTGAATGCTGAGCGAAAGTAGGTGATGGAGAAAAGCATTCAGATTCAAACAAAACTGGATAATGATCAGACACACGTGCCTCAATAACCTCCATGTTTGAGATCAAAAGGCCACGGGACAACACCAAGTCAAGTGTATGACCCAAATTATGAGTTGGGCCACATATATATATTGTTCAACATTCAGTGACTCTAAAAGAGTTACAAATTCCTTGACCAATGGTTTCGAAGGACAACAAAAATGAATATTAAAATCCCCAATGATTCGTAATCTATCAGCCCGAGTCACCAGATCAGACAGAAATTCAGAAAATTGACAGATAAAATCCTTATTCCATTTAGGGGGTCTGTAAACCAAAGCACATGGTACAGGCCCCTTTACATCAACCTTCAATAGCTGGACTTCAAAACTGGAGAAAGTATCAGTGGGCACAGTCTTACATTTAAAACAGCTTCTAAAAATAGTTGCAACTCCAGAGTCTGGGACATTGTGCTGATGTTGTAAACTCTGTCCATGCTGTAACTATTCATGAAGGTCCAATGTAAAGAAAAGCAACTGCGATTTTTGGAGAAAAGACTTTGAAGAATATCCCGGGTTCAGTACGGTAAGCTCTGTCAACAGCATTTTGGGGCATAACGGCCATTACTACAGAAAAATGTTTTTGATTCTCCCCTTATGTAAAAATTGTGGTAACAGTAAGACATTTACAATGGAAGTAAAACAGGAACAGGCACTTTATGAGTTTAAGGCAAGACACTACAAGCAACCCCATTCGTTTTTTTTCAGGCACTGGTAAATTTTGCGATTTTGGGCAATTTTAACTTTCATTTTTCTATCTAGTGAAAAGTTATTTTTATACATTTTATCTATTAGCATCACTAGATTTCAATTATAATACACTGGCCATTTTCTCGAAAGGAGTTTTTTCCACTTCAGCAGCACTTAGAGCAAATTTTACAGTTTCATTCCTATCTAAATTCTGAAGGTTTTTACAGACATTTATAACATTTTATAAATTATTAATAAATTCATAAATCAGAAAATGAAATCAAAAAAATTATTGAGTGATTTAAAAAAAGGAAAATTCAAAATATTAACGTTCAAAACATTAATTAGTGTCAACAAATTGAAACTAAAATTTCGAACCTGGCATTATCC